GTGGTCCTGTCGGCCTGCTCGCCGTACTTCCAGTCGCTGCTGTTGAACAACCCCTGCAAGCACCCGATCATCATCCTGCCGCGGGATGTGCGCTACTCGGACCTGCGGCACGTCATCGAGTTCGTCTACAAGGGCGAGATCGACGTGGCGCAGGAGCAGCTGGACAACCTGCTGCAGACGGCCGACCAGGTGAGGGCGCTCCGGCCGGACGGCACGCCGCAGACCAGCAGATAACGGGCCAACTGGGCAAACAATCTCACCCCCCAGCTGGGGCGGATCAACTGACAATATGCCACAAGAACGGCACGGGCGGAGCGGAGGAGCTACGGAGGGCAGGCCGGGCCCGGTCGGAGCAGCTCGACCGTGTGACCAGGCCGGGACCCGAGCTGAGCCTCCTGCCAACAAACCGCGGCCCGGCGAGAGCGGAGACCGGCCGGGCGGGCGGGCCCCACGACCCCGGCTGACCGGCTCCGATTGTCGCCGGGCAGCGGCCGCCGCCAGCCGCGCTCGCCGAGATGGGCGATTGCGGTATTAGCATGGGCACGTCCCGCTGGGAGGGTGCCCGGTCGGCCTGCGGTCTGGCAATGCCAGCTGCTGGTGGACGGCTGGGATGCCGGTGGACCGCGTCTGGTTCTGCGTCCTGATCCTTCGGCTGTGTGCGATTCAGATAAGGCGCTGGGTGGCGGATCTGCGCCAGACTGTCCCATGTGTGAATGTGGTCGGCTGGACAGACGCGGGCGAGAGCAGGGTCAGGGGTGTGCCGGCCGGACCCGAGCCGCACTGCTGCACGGAGACGGGACGGGAGCAGGGTCAGGGGCGTGCTGGCAGGACCCCAACAGCGCGGCTGCACAGGGAGACGGGACGGGAGCAGGGTCAGGGGTGTGCCGGCCGGGCTCCAGCCGCGCGGGCGCACAGCGACGAGGCGGGAGCAGGGTCAGGGGTGTGCCGGCCTGACCCCAGCCGCGCTGCTGCACAGAGACGGGACAGGAACAGGGTCAGGGGTGTGCCGGCCGGGCTCCAGCGGCGCTGCTGCACAGAGACTGGAGGGGAACAGGGGCAGGAGTGTGCCGGCCGGCTGCACAGGGACGGGGCGGGAGCATGGTCCGGGCTGTGCCGGCCGGGCTCCAGCCGCGCGGCTGCGCAGGGACGGGACGGGAGCCGGACGCCGGCGGGTTGCTCTCGCTGGCCCACTCCCGTTCGCCGCCGGTGGACGCCGTGTTTGAGCTCACCCCTGACCTTTGCGCCCCGGGTCTGCTGGACTTGGGTGTAGTCCAAACAAGAGATCATGTCGCGCGCGCGCCCGCCGGCCACTCCGGCCCCACTGCTCTTCTCGAATCGCCGTGGCGTGAGCCTCTCTGTTTTCATGTCTGCATTCCTCACCGCAGCACGCCTGTGGAGCGTGCCGTACGTCGGGGCCGAGGTCTGCCATAGGGCGCGACCGTGTTCGGCGCACCCTCACCCGAAATAAATATGCTGCGCCTCTCAAGCGGCAGTGAAACCACTGCCGTGAAGGCGGTACAGTTAGTGCACACGCACCCTGAACCGGCGAGCGAGGGCCGGTGCCGCTGTTGCGCCCGCCCACCGGCCTGCGACGTCCGTTAGGCTGACTGCGTCTGCGGTGGGGCCGACGCCTGCGCCGGCGACGGCCCCGGACCGCCGGCCGGGGCTCGGTGCCAGCCCTCGACGGCGCGCGGATGTCTCCGAGCCGCCGGCTCGCACGACCGTTTTGCGACTGTGGCTCCGGCCCAGCGCCGTGCTCAGGCGGTCGGGCGCTGGGTGCCGTCGCGTCCTGACGACGCCCCGCGGCCCGTCACCGCGCCCCCGCGGCGGCGACGGAGCGGTGTTCCGTCAGCAGGCTGGGGGTCGGCCGCGGCGGCGGGCTGTTGGCCGTGGCGTGTCGGCCAGCTACTGCTCTCCCTCTCCCCAGCTCCCCAGAGCGAGGTCCCGTGGCCGTGCCGGCTTGTGCTAATCGGTGTCACCGCGGCGTATGCTCGCTGGAACGCCGTCCTCCGCATGCCTGACCGCCTGGCCCCGGATCACGGATGTGCGCCGCGGTTGGCACTGATCAGCTTCCCCTGCGGTCATTGCTCCCTTCCTGGCTGTTATCGCGCGATCCATCGCAGATACATGACTGCATGTCCGTATCATGCCGTGACGGCCGTCCATGGCAGGACGTCCCGCCGGCGCTGCCAGGACGCCGGTCAAAGTCCTGTGTCCGCGCCGGACCTGGGCGGGCCGGGGACCCGTGGCGCTCGGTGGACCCCATGCCCGGCCGTCCCGGAGGCTTGGGACGAGGTCGTGTGATGCTGTGTCTCCGACCGCTGCTCTCTGTGTGCGCTTCCGGGCGGTTCTGGATCAGATCCTGTGTGCTCTATGACGCCGTGCCCAAACCCTGACCCCGACCGTCATTCTCCTGACTCCCGTGTGTGTCCTGCGGGTGGCGCTGTGCCAGAAGCGTGTCCCTGACCAGTCATCCCCTGCCTGCCAGTAGCTCCACATAGGGGGCGCCGGATGGTCTTGACGCCGACGCGCCCACAAAACCCAAACCATTCCAGAGGTCCTTTGGCCCGTGTTATGACCGTTGCGTCGTCTCTGTGCGCCGGCAGCTCCAGATCAGGCCCCTAGACCCTGTGCTCTGATCGTTGTTCTGTCTCTGTACGTCGGCAGCCCCAGATCAGGTCCCCTGACCCAAGTGTTCAGATCGCTGTTCCTATATGTGCGCTGGCAGCTCCAAATCAGGTCCCTCAGCCCTATGTTCTGACCGTTGCTCCGTGTCTGTGCACCGACAGCTCCAGATCAGACCCCGTGACCATGTGTTCCTCTGTGCGCTGACACCTCCAGATCAGGCCCCTTGACCCCGTGTTCCCCTGTGCGCCGGCACCTCCAGATCAGGTCCGTTGACTCTGTGCTCCCCTGTGCGCCGGCAGCTCCAGAT